TTAATTAGAACTTATGTAAATCACCAGTATCGCAGTGAAGTGCGTGAAGATACGCCGTTACACTAACAAATAACTTGATTAGAACTTATGCAAATCAGCGGTATCGCAGTGAAGTGCGTGAAGATACGCCGTTACACTAGCAAATAACTTAATTAGAACTTATGCAAATCACCAGTATCGCAGTGAAGTGCGTGAAGATACGCCGTTACACTAACAAATAACTTGATTAGAACTTATGCAAATCACCAGTATCGCAGTGAAGTGCGTGAAGATACGCCGTTACACTAACAAATAACTTGATTAGAACTTATGCAAATCAGCAGTATCTCAGTGAAGTGCGTGAAGATACGCGGTTACACTAGTAAAAAACTTTATTAGAACTTATGCAAATCAGCGGTATCGCAGTGAAGTGCGTGAAGTTACGCGGGTACACTAGTAAATAACTTGATCAGAACTTATGCAAATCACCAGTATCGCAGTGAAGTGCGTGAAGATACGCCGTTACACTAGCAAATAACTTAATTAGAACTTATGCAAATCACCAGTATCGCAGTGAAGTGCGTGAAGATACGCCGTTACACTAACAAATAACTTGATTAGAACTTATGCAAATCAGCGGTATCGCAGTGAAGTGCGTGAAGATACGCCGTTACACTAGCAAATAACTTAATTAGAACTTATGCAAATCACCAGTATCGCAGTGAAGTGCGTGAAGATACGCACGGTTAAACTAGTAAATAACTTGATTAGAACTTATTCCAATCAGCAGTATCGCGTGTATATACAAGTTCCAGGTTCCAGTACGAAGTTGCACAAAAATTCAAGGCGGTTTATCACGTAAGATATATAAATATATAGATATCCCATGTTCCTGGGGTACAGAATGTCCCGGGCAATCAGGTTAAATACATGTTAACCATTGTTAAAAATATTTAAAATATAAACAATAACAGTTATGTGTGAGAAATTCCAGATGAAAAGGGGGAAACATTGAAATAAAAGACACTTCGGCCGGAAAAAGTTTGTCTTCTTGACGTTTTGACAAAAATTATTAGTCTTTATCAGGAAAATATAATAAAGAATTTTATTTTTGTCGAAATGTCGAGAAAAAAAGCTTTTTTTGGCCGAAGTGTCTCTTATTTTTAAGAACGATTAAAAAATATATTAATTAGTAATGAAAAAAAAGTCTTCTCTGATCCTTACACTATCTACATTTCCATTCTGATCTTTACCCCGAACACGATGAAGACCACAGGAACATTCAGGTACATTATCGTACTAACTGGACACACGTGGATCCTTCGCGTACAAAACTAAAAAAAATGAGATGATTTAATCTGTCCTTTACTGTGACTGCAAGATGAAACAATTATGCACATTGTTTTTGAATGGGAAGACCTCGATAACTTGAGAAATTATCTCGTCTTCACTGATGGTAAGGACTTAGGTTTTGTGCCCTCTTCACTGTCGCACTTTTCCTGAAGTAAAACAGCCTGGAAAGCGCTGTTCAATTTCATTAGACTAAATGGCATGTTCAAGCCGCGGATTTTCTTTTATCCAACATACGATTCTCATATCATTAAACCAGAAATACGTTTTTTACACCTAATGTTTTTAGTGTACTATCTTTCATCTCTCTAATTCCACTATAGGGTTATCTCTTTTATATCTTATAATAAATATATATATGTCACATTCTTCTTATAAATTATTAATAGATGTAAATTTTTACGCTGTCAGGAATTAGGTAAATAACCCCAAGGATAATCCTCTGTAAGACCTGTGTGTCTTAATAAAGGTTTTTATGTGAAAAAAAATTATGTAAATATTTGTAACTATAAATAAAATGATTGAAATAAAGTTAGTTAGTCAGACGGTTGATTGTTCTCTTTTCTTTATGCAAAACAATATCATCTGCATATTGGCGTGTACAGATCATCATAGAAACGTTAAATATATATATTTTTACTCAAGAATACATTTAAACTAACAAGATTTTGCTTCGGGAATCTGGGTTGAGTTTATCTAACTTTGTGCTGGTATTTGTATCACCACGGTTTTGCTGATTGACATAACTTTTATGGTGACCCATGTTCCTTTGTCCTTAAATTCCAACCTATGACCCTCAGAATCTATCACAACCACAGATTGTTGCCGACCTTAAAATGTGTCATACCAACACGATTGGCATTACACCACAGTGGTGCGAAGATATAGCGGTTGTCATACCAGAATGTAAGTCATCAAGACATGTCGTATCAGTGTGCAAGATTGATTATATTCATGACAGAGCGGTGATAACATTACTTCTTTAAATGTATACGAACATTTTTCAATTTTTATTAAAAATGACATACACCCATACCTCGCTTTGCGTCGGGGTTACGTTCCTAAAAAACACGACGCAAATTGAAACGACGCAAAGTGAAAATTTGTGAAGGCGCAATAAAAAAAAAAGGTGTTGCCATATTTTAGGAAGAAAAAAAATTAAAGACTCGAATCCAAAACAACGCAACTTCGAAAATCTAAAGACGCACAGTGAAAATCAGTAAAAATTAAGCAGCGACGCAACTTCGAAAAAAAAAACGCAAAACGAAACGACGCAAAGCGCGGTATTGGTGTATTTTTCTGTTAAGATATATATCAGCTATTACAACTATAATACACTATAAAAGAAATATTATCTCTATCTAATATTACTGGATAAACTTTCCCCATATTAGGAGATACAATTTTCTTAGTTTATAAAAACGTCATTTTTTACCTCTCTGATCACCTTTTATTTACCAGTTTAATTTAGGAAATATAATTTTTAATATAAATAGTAGATATATAATAATAAAAAAAGTGATATTATAAATTCTATTAATGGGTCAAAATTAAAATACTTACTTTGATTAAATCTTGGATAGTATTGGATGTGAATTTGCTCGCAATTGATGTAACCCGGATTTCTGTCTGACAATATTTTTCAGAAATGAAAGAGTTAAAGTGACTTTTAGAATTTAAAAAAGCGTGAATAATGCTATATTACACAGAATTAATATGTAATTTTTCAAATAAAATTACCTATAAAAATAAATAAATAAAATAAATTATTTCGAATATCTATTGAAAAAAATAATAACCATTAAAAAAAAACGTTATATATTGTTGTTTGAAATAACACGCCTTTCCCTGGCTGCCCTTGTACATTCTATATACAGTTACGAGCGTCATTCTTCATCAGTCATCTCTGTCACCGTTTGCTTTTTTTTTTTTGGAATGGCGCCCTCCTATTGGTCGGCTACGATCACGCCACCTTTGCCCCCCCCCCCCCCCCCCCATCATGCCCCCCCACTCTCTTCTTCGTTTTTGTAACCATTGTGTTGGAGCGGGTCGCTCCTTAAATAAATGCATATATTAGTTAATAACCAAATGGAATCCTCTCTTCCTTTTTCCCAGTAAGAGACGCCTACGGAAGCCAACAGTACATAGAAAGATAAAGCACATAGGCTATAGTTATTAACTAACATATGCATTTATATAAGGCGCCAATTTATAATTGTAACAAATAGTATTTGAATCAAAACATTCAATCGGGTAAAACACGGGCGTTGCCCGGTTCATTCGGCTAGTGAACTTATAACTGTATTATAACTCTAATGTACCCTTCCAATTTATACTTTCATAACCTTTCTTTAACTATCTGTTCATTCTAGTATATATAACCTGTACATATTCAGGACTCACCTCTTGGCTAGCTCTCCTTACCAGATCCACCATTTTTCACTAAACCTTCTGCAGATGAGCCCAGAAAAGTCCCCAGATGGACGTGAGAGGGCGATGTAAGTGTAACCCGTCCATTTTTGGGCGGAAAATTGTTGAAAAAGCGCTTTGTGTAAAAAATAACAATTACCAAGAATTATAAAATCAACCCATATATTACCCATTATATCGAGACTTCGTTCGGCCACGTATCATCCACCACGCACGTATATTTAAAAAAAAAATGTTTTTAAAACTGAAATAATGTAATATATTTTTCTCTAAATAGATAATAAGTATTTAAATTATGTATATAATAATGTGTATATATTATTTTGTATTTATTACTAGCGGATGTACCCGGCTTCGCCCGGGTTTTACCCGAGTAAAGGTTTGTCTAATGAACATTTGTTAAAACAATTCCCTATAAACTTATAAAAAAAAAAAAAAGATATATTTTGATAATTTGAAACTCGTAAATTTGAATCTCTCGATAAAATGAACATTTTTTCCCGGTTCCTTGAAAAATACTCGATAAGTTGAATAAAATCAATATTAATTGGTTCCCTCGGTAATTGGAAGTTAAAGGAATAGTATCTTGCCTTGGAATTGTATCATTATTCTTGTCTCAAATAAATTGCCGTGTCATCCTGAATTTTGTCTTTCCTAATTTTCTACATTACAAAATCATTGTTTTATCTAGTGAACATTTTTTCCCGGTCCCTTGAAAAATACTTGATAACTAACTTTGACTTGTGCGCAATTAATAGGTAGAAAATCTTACTTTTGATAAATAATCTTTAAGATAATAAACTTAGTGATAATAAAACTTATAGATAAAAAAAAGCTTATCATCGTCGTGATGGGGGCGCTGCTTGCGAGTTAAATCTACAAATCTGCAAATAACTCTAAGGATATTCAAGATATTCAAGAAATTATTTTTCAGAAACCTTCCCAGTACTATACTAAATAACTTCCCAAAGTTTCATGGCGTTCCAATGAGTGGTTTGGTCAGGCATAAAGGACACACACACACACATACATTCATTTTTATATATAGATTAAATTTTTAACGTGATAATCCTGTTGAAGGACTGACAAGTCCGAAAGCTTGAAAAATAAAAATTTGCAAAAGAAACTTAACCATGGAAGCTTCATTTATTTTATAACTAGCCGAATGATCCGGGCAACGCCCGTGTATTACCCGATTGAATGTTTTGATTCAAATACTCTTTGTTACAATTATAAATTGTGGTCATGTGGCCTAGTGGTCATGGCATCTGCCCGGTAAGCGGAAGGTCGTGGGTTCGATTCCCATCGCTTGACACTTTTTTTATTTTATCCATTCTGACCAAAATCTATCCGTGAACTTCACACAGTGAACTTCACGCAGACAGAATAAGGCAATTATATAAGTAGATAGCGCAATCAGCTCTGGATGATGAATAACTGATTGTTAGATACAGGGTGATCCAAAAGTCCCGCACAACTTTAAAAAATAATAACTCCGCGAATATTTGCGCTAGAGCAATGCGGTAAACACCATTGTGTTCAGGATGAAATTGGATTTTTTATGGCAAATAATGAAAAATTCGAAATTGATTTTAGTTACAACTCTATTCGCTAGATGGCGCTCTACCAGAATCAGCTATTCAGCGGCCAAATTGTTTGATAAATTGAAAAATATATCTGAACGACACGTATTTTTCCTTTTTGAATACCAGGAAAGAACCCAAATAATATCAAATGAAAAATTAATAAAACACCATTTCGCCAAAAGTTAGAAGAAATGGTTAACGATTTTTAAATACAATCTGAGATATGTAAAATAGATATATGCAAATTAAAACATTTAGCAAAAAATATTTATATTTTAGATGGAGTTTTGAGAAATAGATTGAATGTTTGAAAATAACTACTGATATTAATACACGATTTTTGAAATGTTAATATAGTACCAAAAATTATGATGGCACTACTAATAGGATTTCGTGCTATAAGGAATGTATAGTTTCTTGACTAATTGGCGACACTTGACTATTTAACTGGATATTTGTCATGATCCAAAGATGAAATATAGAGGGGAGTGACAAAATATATTTGTCGTACTTTATTCCAAATATCCTATGGGTTTGTCAAATGTTATCATTGTTTATTATACTCTACATAATTTTGAAAATGTATCCCCTAAAAAAAAATCATTTTTAAATCGACCTTTTGCGTTGAAAAACGTGGTAGCAAAATCATTTTGTATTATTTTTTGCGCAAAATTTCTAAAGTTGGGGGGGGATACAGAGAATATTCCTTATGCGATTTCTTCTAATGAGCGAAAAGCGATAAACTAAACATAAGGGTTAAAATTGTGTATACCAGTGTTATTCGAGAAGTTATAACACTTTGGCCTGCACGACATAATATAAGATGTGGGAAAATGACAAACAAAAAAATTACTGTTCACAGAAAAAAAAAAGAGTCAAGATGTGAGGACAGCATTTATTATTCCCATAACCCAAATCAAAGAGCTGCAAAATATAACACATGAGGTAACTGCCTTCTCTCTTGTATTAGGTCACAATCCTTGCTCAATGTGGCGCCCTTCATTCTCAAACACCGCCTGAAGACGATAGATGACAGAATGGTCACAATTAAATAGTTGAAATTTATAAAACGTGCCATCTGATAGAAGCCTTCAACATGGCCAATGTGGTAGGCCGGCATCGATAAAAACGCGACTTAATGTACCCCCATAACCGAAATTTTAAGGCGTCAAGTCTGGTGATATTGGAGGCCACTGGTATATAAAGTGGCGACTTATCAACGAATTTCACCGAACGTATCCTTCAGCAATTCTTTGGCACCGCGGGAGATATGAATAGGTCCTCTATCTTGCATGAATGTTATTTCGCTTAGTGCTTGTCTGTCCTGCAATATGGGAATAACCTTTTCTCTCAAAAGTTGAACATAACGTTCACCAGTTACAAAAACGGTTTTAAAAGTTCTTCCATCGATTTTTTCAAAGAAAATTTGTTCAAAAATAAAAGAAGTGAACCCACACAAAACTGTAACTCTGGGCTGATGAAATGGTATTTCTGTAAATATCCTAGGGTTTTCTGTTGCCAAAATGAGGCAGTTTTGAATGTTAAATTCTCCCTTTAGATAACAGTGAGCATCATCTGTTCTTAGAACATTTGACAGCCAGTTTTCATCAATATCAATTTGCCGGAAAACCCATGCAGCGAATTCTTGACGCTTCTCAAAATCGCTGACTTTCAACTCGTGAAAACTTTGAATTTTGTTAGGGTATTTTTATAGAAAAATTCTAAATGTGTGTTCTCTCCAAACTGTTCCATACGAAATCCCCGTTTGTCGAGAAACTTGTCTAGCACTTACTTCTCCATACGGGGATAACGTTTCAATAGCTTCAGCATTCTGCAAAACCGTAACAGCCACTGACTTGCATGTCGATGGTCTTCCACTCCGAGGTTTTGTTTCCAGAGATCCAGTTTCCTCAAAACTTTTAATCAATCGCTTTAGAGAGTAGCAACTTATTGGTCCTTTATCGCTTTGAATACCTTTAAAGGAACGAAACGCTCGTAAAGCTTCAGTGGCAGATTCTGAATCACAATTAAAAGAATTCACCAAGAGTGCTTTATCCTGTAGTGACGCCATTCCAGGGGGAAGGGGAGAAGTCCGACCACACCTCCTTGCGGTCCCCCCTGGACCCTTGGAATATTTGACCAAATTCTGGTTCGTTTCCAAGATGACTAACGTTGCAACGGCACCCATCTTCAAATGAAGAGCAAAACTGATATCTCCAGTAATGCTACCGCGTCCGGGGTAACCGCCGCGTCAGGAGCTGCAGCTCGAGCTCATGATGAGAAATCTACTACGAGGACACAATTCAATCTACTACAACTCAATATAAATGGTACCCAGAGGAAAATAAAGAGCTGACTTGTCTTCTCTGTGACAACAATGTACATATTACTTGTCCTCAGGAGACAAAATTGAATCAAAATCTGAGATTCAATATCAAAGATTATACAACACTACGAAAGGACAGACCGGGAAAATTCGGAGGAGGACTTGCCGTTTTGATTAAAACTCTAGAAATCAAATTTAAGGAAATCGCCTATAATCAGAGTAAGCCTAGAGAAAGCACGACAGAAGCTCAGGCAATAGAAATCTATCTTACAGATAAAACAATTCCAATCATAAATGTTTATGACCACGATAATACTAGCATCAATACAGGCCTGATAGAGACATTAAGTGAAGCGTCTTCGGATATCGCAATCATACTTGGTGATTTTAACGCCGAAAGACTAACTTGGGGATCACCTTTCCAGGATAACAAAGGTCAGCAGGTTGAGGACATGCTAACCGACCTCGACCTTACACCGTTAAATAACGAAAAGAACACCTATCTATCCAAGTCCACAGGCACAGAATCCGCAATAGACATCACAGCGATAAATTACAACATCGCACCCACAACACAATGGAAAATTCTGAAAAGTGCAATCAGTGACCACAGACCAATTTTAACAACCATAAAATTAAAAATTGAGAATTTCCAACAGAATAAAAAAAACACTGGAAAAAAATCACAGAAAAGCTTGAAGAACTGTGCAACAAAGAATTAAATCACAAAACGATTGACAAAAAATTGGAAAATTTCTCTTCGAACATATCCAAAGCTGCAAAAGTATCGATACCTAGAGGTAGACGTAAAGACCTGTGAATACTTTACTGGAAGGACCACAATATCGAGGCAATGATTGCAGAGAGAGACAATATCAATCAACTTCTTAAAACAAATAAAACAGAAGAAATCATAAAGGAACTCATTGAAATTAGGCACAAAATAGAACAAGAAATTTGGATATTCAAACGAGAGAGAGAGAAAAATGGGCAGAATTCTGCGAAAAAAATGGATCCAAAAAAGGAAAGCCATCACTGGAATTTAATTAGTGTTATAAAACAATCAAAACCAACACTAATCTTTCAATACTCTAACCGATATGAATACCGAGAACGAACAAACAGATGGCTGAAATAATTGCTGAATATCTTTCAAGCACTTCCAGACTCAGCTATACGAATGAAGGCAGGACTCTAAAAAATAATGTAAACAGGTTAGTTAAACAAGCAAGAAATTACCATCAACAAGATATTTACTCGAGAGACTTCACACTGAATGAGCTAAACTCATCAATAGGAAAGTTAAATCCAAGATGTCACCTGGAGATGCTCTAATCTTTGGTCAAATGATTAAACACTTTGGAGACAAAGCTAAAAATCAACTCCTACGAATACTGAACATTTCATGGCAAACTGGTAAGCTACCAAAGAATTGTAAGATATCAATTATAGTGCCAATACTGAAACCAAACAAAGATGCCAAGGAATGCAAGAACTATCGGCCAATTGCTATTACCAGCATACTTTGTAAAATAACAGAATGAATTATCCAATCTATAAGACTATGAGAAATTCAGACAATACTTACTGGGACGAAAATTTGAATTGGTCACAGACAACCGATCATTAATTCATATATTTTCACCTCATAAACCAATTCCCATATGTGCATCATCCAGAATTACAAGTAGGTCCTTTAAATTAGCTGCATTTAATTATACTGTGGAATTTCTAAAAACTAGTGATAATTCCAATGTTGACGCATTGTCACGTCTTCCTTTAGAATCGAGTGTCAGGAAGTCTCTTGATGAAGACCAGATACTTCTTCTCAGGAAGTTGAATGAGGTACCGTTCTCTTTTAGGGAGGTGGCATATGAGACGTCCCGAGATAAAATACTATCTATAGTATTAAGGAATGTTAGAGAAGGCAACTGGAAATTCACAAGGGTGTACCGAGGGAAAATCCACTAGCTCCTTATTATAAGATCAAAGAGGAATTAAGTTTGGAGTTTGGTTGTCTTCAATGGCGTGAAAGAGTGGTAATTCTCCAAAAATTAAGATCTTTAATTTTAAATGACTTGCATGAAATACACATGGGGATTGTTAAAATGAAGATGATTGCCAGACGGTATTTTCTGGTGGCCAGGCATAGACAGTAACATCGAGAGTTAACTAGAGAATGTAGAGTATGCCAAGAATCGGCAAGCATGCCCCCGGCTACCATCTCGGAATGGACTTGGCCCGAAAAACCGTGGCATCGACTTCATCTTGATCTAGCGGGTCCGTTCATGGGAAGAATGTTTTTGGTTCTCGTGGACGCATACTCAAAGTGGATATAAATTTTTATCATCAAAGATATTACCAACAAAACGATTATAAATCATCTTAGAGAAATTTTTGCCAGA